TTTTAGAACAAATTAAAATGGGCAGTAGCATTATAGTGAAGAAATCAACCATGGTGTGCCCTGCTAAAGAGACTCCAAAAGGCAGTCTTTGGCTCTCAAAGATCGACATGATAATACGCACACCTTACTCACACACTAATGTTCTCGTATTCTATCCTCCCAACAATAATAAACCTTTTGATCCCAACATTTTCAAGGAGTCTCTTAGTAAAGTCCTAGTGCCATTCTACCCAATGGCAGGGAGGTTAAAATTTAACCATGAAAACGGAAGGTACGAGATCGATTGCAATGCTAAGGGGGCCTTATTTATCGAGGCGGAATCAACAAAAGCTCTTGCCGAGTATGGGGATTACTTAAACCCGGATTCGCCACTAAAGAAGTTGGTTTTTCCTAAATGTGATTACTCGGGAGGGATCTCGTCATTCCCTCTACTACTATTGCAAATCACTTACTTCAAATGCGGTAGTTTATGCCTTAGCTTTCAGCCACATCACCATGTAGCCGATGGAGCTTCCCATTTTCACTTCTTCAACTCATGGGCTAGATTGGCTAGGGGTTTGGACCTTAGTGTCTATCCTGTTCATGATCGGGCTACTTACCTTGCTCCTCGCAACCCCCCTCAAGTTAAGTTTCGGCACCTCGAGTATGAGCCATCCCTACCCCCTTTAATCCCAATCGGCTTATCAGGTGATAATATGTTTCTTATACTTTCTCCGTTTTTATTAGATACATTACTTTTTATACACAAAAGTTTTAATTTAGATGTATCACTTTCCCTTTTATTCACTCTCTCAATGAATAGATTATTAATATTTAATTGTTATAACTTTTACTGATTAACAATCAATGATATTATTGGTCAAAGTTTTGCACTCTCACATATGTGTACATGAGAAACATTTCACTAAAAAATATACAACAACCCTATTCCCATATAATTGGAATAATTAAAATATACTCCTTCTGTCCCCTTTTGATAATCTATCCCTTATGGGTATTTTTCACAAGAATTAATAAACACAAATAAGAATAGTTAAAGTACATTTAAAAAGTAAATTGACATTGGGTATGCAAAAAAATAAAGAGAGTGTTAGATTTCGGGAAAACTCCTCAATCTGGAATGTGTACCATTGATCAAATATATAGAGTTTACAATGTTAGCCTAATCACGTTAGGAATCCTAGATACGATAAACATACAAAATATACATTAAATATATCCTAATCTGCGACAAATATTATCCTAAATATAATATCTATCACACCCCCGCAGTCGTAGCGGGAGGAGGTCGTACGCTAAGACTGGATCAAAATTCCAAAAATAATTCTTGCGATAGGCCTTTAGTGAAAATGTCTGCGAACTGATACCTAGTAGGAACATGGAGAACCCGAACCTGTCCCAATGCAACCTTTTCTCGAACAAAATGAATATCCATCTCCACATGTTCGGTGCGTTGGTGCTGTAATGGGTTGCCAGAAAGGTAGATAGCACTGACATTATCACAATAAATGATAGTAGCCTGCCGTAGAGGACAACGTAGCTCTAGTAAAAGGTTACGGAGCCAACACGCCTCAGAGACAACATTTGCGACGCCTCGATATTCTGCTTCTGCACTCGACTTAGATAATGTATGTTGACGCTTAGATGACCAAGATACGAGGTTGTCCCCAAGAAAACAACAGTAGCCCGATGTGGAACGTCGAGTGTCTGGACAACCTCCCCAGTCAGCGTCGGTGTAAGTAATCAGTCGATGTGAAACAGTAGGATATAAATGTAAACCGTGATCAATGGTACCCTGAACATAACGCAAAATGCGTTTCAATGCCTCATAATGAGGTTCCCGAGGATCATGCATAAATAGACACACCTGCTGCACTGCATAGGAAATATCTGGTGAAAGTGAGGTACTGAAAAGCACCTGCTAAAATGCGATACAAAGTAGGATCCCGAAAAGGTGGCCCTGCATCTGCACTAAGTTTGGACTTAGTGTCAACTGGAGTGGCGGCAGGTTTACAAGAGGCCATCCCTGCACGCTCTAAAATCTCCTGTGCATACTTTTCCTGAGAAAGTAGCATATAAGAAGGTTTTCGGGTTACGGCAATACCCAAAAAATAGCTAAGAGGCCCCAAGTCAGACATGGGAAACTCAGTTTGCAACAGAGAGATGATCCATGTACGCAACCTGTCAGATGAGGTAGCTAAAATAATATCATCAACATATAGAAGCAAATATGCCATATCATCTCCCTGCCGAAACGTAAAAAGAGAGTTGTCACTCTTGGCAATGACAAACCCCAATGTGATGAGAAAATTCGCAAAGAGTTGGTACCAAGCTCTGGGAGCTTATTTCAAACCATAGAGAGCCTTGCGGAGCCGACAAACATGAGAGGGAGCCCTCCGATCAACAAAACCCGGAGGTTGATGCATATATACAGTTTCCTGCAAGTCACCATGTAAAAAGGCATTTTTGACATCTAGTTGATGAATCGACCACTTTTTAGCCATAGCTAAGCTGAGAACAGTACGAATAGTGGCCGGTTTGACTACCGGACTGAAAGTCTCATCACAATCCACACCAACCTCTTGCGACCTGCCATCACAAACAAGACGAGCTTTGTGCCTTTCAAGGTCACCATTAGACTTGTATTTGTGTTTAAACAACCATATACAATTAACAATGTTCACCCCCGTAGGCCTAGGTACCAAATCCCAAGTCCCTGTTTTAATAAGAGCATTAAATTCATCTTGCATCGCCGCATTCCAATTAGAGTCATTAAGAGCAATTTTATATGTCTTAGGGATCGGTGATTTATGTGAAGCAATGGTCATATTGGCAGAGTTATATTTGGGGTTCGGTTTAAATATACCTCGTTGACTACGGTAATAGGAGGTGATGGGGGTGGAGGTCTAGTGGGTTGAATTGGTAGGAATCCACGCATGGGTGGAGGTGAATAAATGGGGTTGGGCTGTTGTGAATGAGTAGTGGAAGGAGAGTGGGCTGATGGGGGTGAAGGAGGCCCATCAGCGTGAGGAAGAGGGGGAGGGGGAGTGGGCAGGCTGGTCCGCGTATGGGCCGCGGGAGAAGGAGTTGGGCCGCAGCCTGCCTGCGATCCTCCGTGATCCACAAGGGAAGTAGGAGAAATAAGGTTGGGGGAGGTTTGGGTCGTGAGAGGGGAGTTTGGGCCGCATGGGATTTGAGTAGGAGCTGGGCTAGTGTGTTGAGGAGTCTGAGGAGTGACTTGCTGCCAAAACGGGGAAAGCAAGGGACTAGGATCTGAAGAGTTTAGGAAATCATATTCGGAATTCCGGAATTTGCTCAAATTACGAAATGGAAAGGTGGACTCGTCAAATACAACATGCCAAGAAAGAATAATTTTATTAGAGGAGAGGTCTAGACACTTATATCCTCGGTGATTAGTTGGGTGACCCAAGAAAACACAAGGGGTGGACCTAGGAGCTAATTTGTTAGGGGTCGTCGCCGATAGGTTAGGAAAACATAAGCAACCAAAAACTCGTAAATGATCATAGGAAGGTATTTTGCGAAATAAAGCAAAGGCGGGAGTGTCATTAGCAAGAGTTTTGGTGGGCATGATGTTAAGAAGATATGTTGCCGTTTCTAAAGAGTCTACCCAATAGGAACGCGGAATGGATGCATGAATTAGAAGAGTGCGAGACATGTTGTTTAAAGTTCGAATCATGCGTTCGGCCTTACCATTTTGAGATGATGTGTGAGGACATGAGAAACGAAAAACCAAGCCATTAGTGATACAAAAGCATTTGAATGGATCATTATCAAATTCTCGACCATGGTCACTTTGAAAGGATTTTATAGGTCGTTCAAATTGTGTCAAAACATATGACCTAAAGTTTAGAAAAGACTGAAAAGCTTGTGACTTGAATTTTAATGGAATAGTCCACACAAAATGGGTAAAGTCATCCAACATAACCAAATAATATTTGTGACCATATTAACTACGAATAGGAGATGTCCACAAATCAGCATGAATAATTTCAAAAGCAGTAGAAGTGGTACTATTAGAAGAGTGAAACGGCAATCGAACATGTTTTCCTAATTGACAAGAAACACAAAAAATAGAGTCATGCTCCTTATTACAAGAAATAAAATTTCTAGACCTAAGAACATTTAAAGTAGGATTTCCCGGGTGACCAAGGCGTTCATGCCAAGGGAGTGATGAAGCAGCAGTGAGAGTGGTGGCAAGACAAGAGGATGGGGTGGTAGAGTTGGTAACAGGATAGAGGTCCCCCGAACTATTGCATCTCGTTATTATTTTCCCCGTATGTAGATCCTTCACAGAAAAACCAAAAGGGTCATATTCAATTGACAGAGAATTATCTGAAGTGAATTTACGAACAGAGATAAGATTTTTAACAATTTGTGGAGCTAATAGAACATCACGAAGTGCTAATGGGGGTTTTGGGTAGGGTAAAGTGGTATGACCATAACCCGTAACTGGAATGCGACTACCATTACCAACTAAAATATGATTATTAGTGCTCAAATTAAACAGGGACATGAGAGTACCTGAGTTGTTGGTCATATGAGACGTTGCACCCGAACCCACGTACCACGAATTGTCTTATGGGAGAGACATAGTAGCAAACGAGCAACTCGGTCGGAGTCATAGGTGGCCCATAGTTGGTGTTTTGATACATCGGGTATGGACCTTGAAACTGCTGCTGTGGGAATTGGGCCATATATGCGGCTCGAGGTGGGGCAGTATTTGGCCGAAATTGGCCTTGTTGCTGTTGAGGATATGGAAAGGGTGTAGAAGGAGCCCATTGTTGGGCTGGAAATTGTTGTTGGGCCCAAGCAGGTGGTGTGCCCCATTTAGGTGCTTGGGCAGCATTTTGGGGCTGCTGTTGTTGAGAGGTATCTCTCCCACGACCCCGACCCCGACCCTTTCCTTTATTGTTAGGTCCGCCGCGACCACGACCACGACTTGCACCCCTGCCGGTACCTCCACCGCCGGACCGTTGTTGCTACTGTTGTGGTCGATTTTGTGGCGGTGGCGTGGTGTTTTGAGTGGAGGTGGTGGCGTGTTGAGCTACTAACGCGGATGATGAACCTTGGTCATTGGAGCGTCTCGTCTCCTCAAGAAGAAGACGTGACCGAGCAGACTCAAAAGATGGCAGTGGCTCTGTTTGTTGAATAATAGTAGCAACTGTATCAAAGTCAGTGTTCACCAATCCAGAGACAAGGCGAATGACCAATTTTTGCTCCGAAACCGGCTGGTCGACGGCTGCCAATTGATCCTTTAAGACCTTTAATTGTTGACAGTAGGAGTTGACGTCGGAGAAATTGGACAGATGAAGGTTATTAAATTGATTCTCAAGATAAACGGCTCGTGTGTTCTTGTAATCTTGAAATAGGTCCTTCAGTTTAGTCCAAATTTGAAGTGCCGAATCACCTTTGTTAAGGATGGTTGTAAGGAGATCGGTAGAAATCGTTCCATAAATCCATTGTTTAACAATGGAGTCCAGACGAAGCCACAATGTGTTTGAGATATCAGTCGGTCGAGGGATCGAAGGGTCGATATGATCAAGGACATTGAATGCGTGACAGTGAACTTCAAACAACTCAACCCAGTTGGAGTACTGAACTTTTTCCCGATCAAGAATCAACGGAATGGCGTTCTTGATGTTGTTGACGGAGAGAGCAGGGTGATACTCTGTGGAAGGTGGAGGAGGTGGTGGAGGTGGATGGTCACTGTCCTTGGTCATGCTTGTGGGGGTAAAATTGCTATAAAGACTCACTTTGCTTACGTACAGTAAGCAAATTCTTGAAGGAAGAGAATTAAAAGGTAATTGCAAAAGTGGAGTTGGAGAGGTATAATTAATTGGTGAATTAATTGGGAAAAAAAAAATTGTGGAAGCTTGAAGTAGGGCTGGCAAACCCTGACCCGACATGAAAACTCGATCTGAACCCGACCCGAAGTTACTGCGAAAGACCTGAACCCGACCTGAACCGAACCCGAACAACCCGAATTCGACCCGATTTGACCCAAATTTCATATTTCGTAATAATATTAAGTTTTACACTATTTTTAATAGTTTCTAAGCATAACCCGAAATCGACCCAAAATCTGACCCGAACCCGACCTGCTGACCCGAATTGCCACCCCTAGCTTGAAGGCAATGAGCACAGGTCCCAAACAAAAGGCAAAAACCAAAATTGGAAAAAAAAAAGTTTGAGATCTAAATCCTAAGCTGTGATACCATGTTAGATTTCGGAAAAAACTCCTCAATTTGGAGTGTGTACCATTGATCAAATATATAGAGTTTACAATGCTAGGCCTAATTACGTTAGGAATCCTAGATACAATAAACATACAAAATATACATTAAATATATCCTAATCTGCGACAAATATTATCCTAAATATAATATCTATCAGAGAGAATTAATAAAAGTACATGAAAAATAAAATTTACATGGAAAAGTTAAATTTGCACAAATATTGTTGCAAATTGAATGAAATTTTGGTAAAAAATTAATATTAATGGTTGTTGGAAAAAATAAATGAGGTGAACATTTTGGGCTAAAATTTGTCCATAAAAGACTATCAAAAGGGGACGGAGGAAGTGTTAATATACAATGAAAAAGGAAAGATGATTAATCAATCATCACATAAAAGGAAAAGTCACCATAATTAAAAATATTAATAGTTAAATTCAACATTCACATACGTGCCCATTTAAAATGAAACACTTAAATAAGTCATGACAAAAATAATTGAATTATTTCACTAAAAAAAACTACAACACCCCCTATTCCCATAAAATTGGAATAAAAAAATTAAAACATATTAATCTACAGTGAAAAAAGAAAGATGATTAATCAATCATCACATAAAAGGAAAAAAGTAGTGATAATTAAAATATTACTCCATCCGTCCCTTTTTTACATTCCTATTTGTAAAATTAAACCGAAATCAAGAAACTTGGAATAAAACAAAGATCAATAAAACAAAGTACAATAATGGGAACTACAAGACTTTAATTGATGTCTTTGAGTAAAACAAAGATAGAATAATATTTAACGCTTATGCATGTCATCAATTCTTTGAAAAGAAAAAAGGACCAATAATATTTTTTGGTGGAAAAAAAAGGACCATTTATATTCATCTAATAAATTGATACACATGGATTCTGAAAATAAGAGTGAGAATTAGAAAATAAGAGTGAGAAAATAGAGAAAGCATTAATTACAAAACAGAAAATATAAGGATAATTTCGAATATTTGATAAAAAATTTACTTACTAAAAAAAGAAAGTAGGAAGGTAATTTAGAAATATCCAAAAAAGAAAACAGGAATGTAAAAGAGGGAAGAATGGAGTAACAGTTAAAATTCTACATCGGAATACGTGCCCATTAAAAGTGAAACACTTAAATAAGTACTACATGAAAAAAAAGGAAAAATACGCTTTAATAATCCCAACTATGGTCAATTTACTTTTAATAATCCCAATGAAGGTTTATTATCTAATAATCTTAACTATGGGGTATGTTTTCCTCCAATAATCCCAACCGGTCAATGACCTGTTATAACAAGTGACCATAACAAGTGTCAACACGTGATGATTGGTCCAAATTATTAAAAAAAAAACATTAAAAAAAAAATTCCCCTAAAACCATTGCACAGGAGCTGTCACCTCCACCGCTGCGAAACCCTAATCTCCACCAGAAAACGGCTAGCCACCCCCATTAGCCACCAAAACCGGTCGGCCGACACTCGATCTACTACCCATTAAACCCACTTCTGACCTCCAAAACCACCAACACAACCTACTTCGACCCTAAAACCACCAACCTACAATTTGAATAATCTACCGCCAAAACCCTCGAAACCATATCTACAACTTGAAGCCGCCACAAAAAACACCCCTCCTCCCTTCCCCCACCGCTGAAATGGCCAATTTTGAGGGTGGGAAAAGGGAGGAGGGGCAATTTTTGCGGCAGAAGAAGGAGAGGGCGATTGATTTCGAGGGATAGGTTGGTGATTTTAGGTTCGAGGTGGGCTGGGTATGTGGTTTTAGGGGTCGGCGATGGGTCAGGTAAGGTACTATAAAGGGTCGATCGACCGATTTTTGGTGGTTAAGGGGGTGGTCGGCCGTTTTTCGGTGAGGTAGGGGGAGGGGTTAGGGTTTGGAAGTGGTGGGAGGTTGGCTGAGAATTTTTTTAATTTTATTTTTGATTTATTTTTTGGACCAATCATGTGTTGACACGTGGCTATTTAAAACCAAAAAAAAAAAAAGAGAACTCTTTCAGCATGTTACCAATCATCGAGACTATTCTAGGAAAACATACACAATAGTTAGGATTATTAGATAATAAACTTTAGTTAGGATTATTAAAATTAAATCGCCCATAGTTAGGATTATTAAAGTGTATCTTTTCAAAAAAAATTAAGTTGATTTTATTTGCACAAAAATATAAGCTATATATATGTTATATAGCAATTAGTGTTAGGCCTGAGCCATGTCCCGAGCTACTGTATTATTTCCATGATAAAAATCTACATTAGTATTTAATTATTGAATACATGTAATATGGTAATTTTGTGGCTAACACGTTGGAATTTAAACTTGAGATCATGGGTTCAATTCTTGAAAGAACCATATTTTTAGACATTGAGTAAATATTGAATTAAATGAGGAGAATGCTATGTGACATCTAAACTTCTTTAGTAACGCGTTGAGGAGAGCGTCACGTGGAACCTACACTTCTTTAGGAACGTCTTTTAATATATTATATTTTATTTTAGGAAAAATTGACAAGAATAATCTCAACTTTGTCTCATCCACTCAAAATAATCCCAACTTTAGATTATTTTCTAATGAACATTGAAATTAATTTGCTTCCAACGGTCCCAATCAGTTATCCAAATTGTTATAACAAGTTACTTGGCACGTGTACTTCATATAGATAACAACCCATCCCAATCGGTTATCTTAATTTTGTTTCCATAACATTCATTGTTTGATCAGGTGAGATGGTAACAACCGAGTGTACCTTGAAGCTGACTAAAGACCAAGTTAACACCTTAAAATTACAAGTAACATCTCATCAAGAAGTAACAAATTACAAGCTAAGTACATTTGAGGTTCAAGCCGGGCATGTGTGGCGCAGTGTATGCATGGCGCGTGGATTACCAAATGATCAAGACGTCAAACTTTACATCGTAGTAAACTGACGGTCAAGAATGAAAGATATGGGACTACCAAAAGGTTATTGTGGTAATATCATTTTATATGCAACTTGTTTAGAAAAGGCAGGAGATATCAAGTGCAAACCATTAAGTTACACCGCGAGTAAAATTCACGAGGCAATTAAAAAATTTGATGACATTGAATATATAAAGTCAACCATTGATTATTTGGAATCACTTCCTAATGTAATGGATATTGTTCGAGGGTCACAAACAACTACATGTCCTAATTTCACAATAAATTCTTGGGCTAGTTTGCCTTTATATGAAGGTGATTTTGGATGGGGTGGACCCATGTTTACGGGCATTAATGCAATCAAGTATGAAGGCCAATCTTACATTACACCAAGCTCAATTAGGGATGGTAGTTTTTCAGTCACCCTCAAGCTTTTCTCCACTCATATGGAGGCTTTTCAGGAGTACTTCTACAACATTATTAGTAGCAAATTTTGACCATTCTTGGAATAACACCTTTTATGGATGTAGGTTCATCCAAAGGCTTTTTTTTTTTTTTTTTTTTTTTTTTCTCTTTATGTGTGTGTGTTTTAGAGAGCCACAAATGTAGGGGTGAGAATCGATCCCAGCCAGAATTTCCTAAAATCGAAAGAGAAGCTCTAACGACTTGAGCTATCCCTCACACTTGTGTGTGTATGTGTGTGTGTGTATGTGTGTGTGTGGGCTCATTTTAAGATTTTAAAGTGAGCAAGTAATATTAAATGAGTAAAATATATATGTGATGGGTGCACTTTACAACCGAGTGTAAGTAAATTTTTATTCTTGAAAGGCTCTTGTATGATTTCTCTTAAATATGCACAATAAACGGTGTTAAATCTTGTTTATTGAAACATCAATCAAAGTTGTGTATTCCATTTCAAGTTGTTTAGTTATGCTGATGCATTTGACATCTCTTGCCTCTTTCTACAAAAAGTTATTATTTTAACCCCTAAATTGTGAAATTAAGGCAGGGTGAGTACAGTGGAGCTTTAAAATTCATCAAGATTTAAAACCCATAGTCTTAACAAACAAGTAAATTAAAGCTTAGCTTGTTGAAACCTAAGACTATTGTAATCAATAAATTTTATTTATCTAGTAATGTATTACTATGGAAATCGCAAAGGTATGTATTATTGTATTAATGTATTATGTACTCTCAATACTAAACTACTGAAAGTAGGAACAATTGTGTAGAACTAATACGTGCAACTTTTGAGACATACATAACTTGGGATGGATGAGATTAAAACATGTGAATATTTTTTCACACTATAATTGATATTTTATTGTGGGATCAACTCAATAAAAAATTAAACTAATAAAAAAAAAAAAACTTAATAGTTGAAGACTTGAAGTCTATTACTTGTACTACCTCCGTTACATATTATTTGCAACATTGACATAAAATAGAGAGGAAAAATGTCTAATCGTTGCAAATAATATGTAACGGAGGTAGTAATACTCCCCCCCATTTTTATAGGTAAAAAGAGCAATATATTGATTCCTATGTTGATTAAGAAATATCAACAAGTCCAACCAAGGTTAAAAGACCTTGAGGAAATGAACTGACACAAATTCTTTGGACACATCCATTAGTATCCCACACAAATTCTTTCGGCACAACAATTAATTTCTTTTTATATGATAGAAACTACAAACATTAAAAGACTTAGCTAAGAAGCGCACAACATCATAAAATAAGCCATATATGGGGATCATGCATCCATGTGAAAAATTAGAACCGTTTAAGGTGTTTATCACTGCGAAGGCATCACCCTCAGCTCAAGCTGTAGACACGAAAATACCCCCAATCATCTTTCGCAACCAAAGCGAGCAATAATAAGTCTGTTCTCATACGATTATTTTCAGTTCATTTTAGTTCAGCTCTAATAAGTTTAGTTCAATTCAATTCAGTTCAGTTCAGTTATAATAAGTTCATTTCAGTTCAGCTCCTAATTTCATTTCAGTTAAGTTAAGTTTAATTCAGTTCAGCTCTAATAAGTTCAGTCCAGTCCAATTCAGTTCAACTCTACTAAGTTCAGTTCAGTTCAGCTCAGCTCAGTTCAGTCAATGAGAACAGACCCTAAGGGTATGTTTCGATTTACTGAAAATAACTAAACTGATTAGGGCTGAATTGAACTAAACTAAACTTAGTAGAGATGGAATGAATTGTTTATGAGAGAAGAGAATTTGGAAATGAAGTGATTGGAGCTAAATTGAACTGAAATTAAGCTAAACTGTACATGCCTTAAGTGGGTAAGAAACTAAGAGTTGAACCTCAAAGCTGTTCTTCAAAGTATATTTTTTATATCTAATTAAACCACAAGCATTTATATGTCTATGTTAAAGGTGTTAGAGAGTTTAATTAAAACTATTAGTTGATCAAAAAATTTATTCAAAGTCAAGCATATACCCCTTTAAAAACATAAATAATGTACATATTTTTGTAGTCTAACATTCCGAGTAGCACAGACTAGGGTACCCGATCGAAAAATCAAAAATCCGAAAAATCGATTTGTAACCGTTTCGAAAATTAGGGTACCCGATCCGATAAGCATAACCATAACGGTTCAGGTACCCGTTCCAATAATTTTTTATCGGGTATGGTAATTATTTTAAAATTATTATATTATATTAGGAAATTTTGTGAAAAACTACCTATTATAATCCAGAATTTGCGAGAAACTACCTATTAAAAAAAATGTTGTAATTGACTACCTAATTTTCGAAAAATGTTGTAATTTACTACCTTACGCCGGATTATGAAGGAGTTTGACCAAAGTTCTCCGGTGTTGACTTGGTCACGTGACCATCACGTGACACTTAATGACCTTTTTCTTTCATCAAGTGTCACGTGACCAAGTCAACGCCGGAGAATTTTGGTCAAACTCCTTCATAATCCGGCGTAAAGGTAGTAAATTACAACATTTTTAAAAAATTAGGTAGTCAATTACAACATTTTTTTTAATAGGTAGTTTCTCGCAAATTCTGGATTATAATAGGTAGTTTTTCACAAAATTTCCATTATATTATAATTATATTCAGCTTTCTTATTAAAAACCAGCTCACGCAATAATATCAATATAGCATTATTAACTATAAAATGAGATTATAATATAATTATATTCAGCTGGTTCCACTTCTAGCGCATCTCATACATTTTTTTTTTTTTTTTTTGTACAAAATCTTAAAATGGAGGATGTACATTTAAGAATTTGTATTATAAATATGAGATTTTCTTGTAAATAATAAGTCAAAATTACAACGGTACAAATGTGAAATAAAAATATAAATTAGGTATCAAATGGTAAAATCAAAACTACAATGGTACCAAATGAAATGTACCTAAATATACATATTAATGGCTAGTTTGATTTATTATGTACTACCTCCGGCCCGAATTGCTCGCAACTTTGGGGTATTATTTGTGAAATATAAAATATTTCAAAGTTGCAAGTAATTTGGACCGGAGGTAGTAGTACATGCACTTTTGGTAAGCCATAGCTAAAGTGCATGTCAAAGACAGAGTTCATCACTTTCTTTATCCCTTTCTTTGAAGCTTAAAATTAGTCATCAGATCAAAAAAAAAATGAGCAGCATCAAAGTGAAGAAATTAACAATGGTGCACCCTGCTAAGGAGACTCCGAAAGGTAGTCTTTGGCTAACGAAGTTAGACATGATCATACGTGCACCTTATTCACATACTGACGTTCTCTACTTCTATTCTCCCAATAATACATCTTGTTCTAAATTTTTTCATACCAACATTTTGGGGGAAGCTCTTAGTAAAGCCTTAGTGCTATTCTACCCGATGGCGGGTAGGTTAAAACTTAACAATGAAAATGGAAGGTATGAGATCGATTGCAATGCAAAGGTGGCCTTGTTTATCGAGGCAGAATCAACTAAGGAGTAAGGAAGGTAGTGTTCCCTAAATGTGACTACTCGGGAGGGCAGTGGCGGATCCAGGAATCCGAAGTAGGGGTAGCACTAGACAATAATAAAAAGAAAAAGTATAACATTCTTGTAACGTAACATAATTAATCAGCCAAACATGGATATAATGTGTTGTGTAGTCGTATAATAATTAACAATCACGTTCAAACATTTATATTGACAAGTTTTTTTTTTTTCTAAATTTTTTTTTACAAATAATTCAATTATATTGTAGATATCGATTATACTATCATAAACTTTCCACCTGTTTATTTTTTATTTTGTCGAAGTTGCATATGAATTTATACCGAAAACTTTGGTATAAATTTTTCCTTGTGCACTTACGGCACATATGCTAACGTAAAACTTTGACTGAAAATATATATCGTTAATAATTAAACTTATAACAATTAAATATTATAGTAATAAATTTGACGATTCCAACAAGTACCCACATGACTATATTTATTGTTATGTATAAATCATAAATATTAGCTAAAGTGAATTAGATGAATTTTACAAAAAGTCAAAACGTTTTTCATACGATTATAAACAAGATTTAATAATGGCCAAATAAATGCAATAAATATAATGTGATGAAAATGAGAAAAATGAATAAAATATAACGGAGAGAGTATTTCATATTAATAAGGACTGTTTTGTAAAAAGTGTGAAAACGGAAAAAAGAAATTTATCATGAAAAGATACTAATAGCTTATCCTTTTGTTAATTTAAATAGGAGGAAAGTGAAAATTCATTTGGGCCAAATAATAGCTTATCCTTTTGTTAATTTAAAAAGCTTATTTTATCATCAGATATTAGAAAGGCAGGAACATTTGTAGGCAAAGGTTATGTATCTGATGATATGTTTAAACTAAGTATCAATAAAGATGAAAGTTCAAATTACTCTTATGTGCAATCTTTTAATTTCAGTTTTAATATTGTTGAATGTTAAAGTTTTAATCTTTGGCATAATCGATCGAGACATGTTAATTATCAAACAATGAAATTTATGAATAAAATTGGACTAATTTCATTTAATGATGAACATAAAAATAAATGTGCAGTTTGTGTCCAATTGAAAATGAAGAAAAAACCTTTTCCAAAGGTGGACAGAAATTCTGAAATTTTAGAGCTTGTACATTTTGACATTTGTGAGTTAAATGATGTTTTAACTAGAGGTGGAAATAGGAATTTTATTACTTTTATTGATGATTGTTCTAAATTTACATATGTGTATTTGCTGAAATAAAAAGATCAAGCTTATGACAAGTTCTTGATTTACAAGGCCATGGTTGAAACACAAAAGGGCAAGAAATTGAAGATCTTGTGAAGTGATAGAGGTGGGGAATATTTTCCTACTGAATTTACTTCTTTTTATGAGGATAATGGAATTGTACATCAAGTTAGTGCACCTGTAGACACCCATTTGTGTCTCCCCAAAACCAAACCTATTGATGAATACCTTTCACTTCATTTGATTATTGAACAAAGATAAAGTGTGAAAAGTCTAGTGATAAGGATGT